ATTTTAATATCTTTAATTTATAAGAAACTTAATTTATTATAAATTTTCAATTAATTGAATTGATATAGAATACTTATTATTAGGAATTAATTAGTTTAAAATATTTAATACTAAAATATATTTTAATTAAAATAAACTTGTAAAATTTTAAAATTAAACTATTAATATTATAATTAAATATATTAAAAAATTTAAATCTTATTTTAAAATTTTGTTAATACAGTTAAAAATAAAGAAAATGAATATGTAAATAAAATATTTTATGAAATTGATCTTTATTAATTGAAAAATAATAATAAAGAAATTACAAATTTATTTCTGATATTGATGAAAAAAATAATGAATTAAAATATATCAAATAACTTTATTAAGAATGAAAATAATAATATAAATGTAAAAATAGTAATAAAAAAATAAAAAATAATCTAAAAAAAATTATTTTTACAGAAAAAATTAATATTAAGCAAATTACTTATATTAAATAATAAATACTTATAAAATTTAATATTAGACTAATAATATATCCTTTAAAAAACAAAGATTTTTTAAAAAAAAAAATTGATAAAATATTAAAAAAAAAATTATTTAACTATTTATAATTCTTTAGACTTTTCTAATAGTAATTATACTTAAAAAAATAAAATACCTTAAAATCTATATTAACTACAAATTTTTAAATTTAATAATAATTATATATTTAATATAAAATGAAAAATTTTAATACATAAATTTTCAATATTTTATTTAGAACATAATAAACTTTATATTTCATATTAAGTAATTAATACTTAGTTACATCTTTCTCTGTTAAAATTACCACTTAGCATATTATCAATTAAATTTTCAATCAGAATTATTTTTTATTCTTTTTGAATATATTTTTTAAATTTAGCAAAATTACTTAATTTTTTCTTTTGTTTTTTTTAATTTCAATCTATAAATTTTCAATCAGATTAAGTTTTAAACTTTAAACAAACTAGAAAAGAATATATAAATTCTTTTTTGCACAAAATACTACTACAATTTTTAATCTATAAAGAGTAGTATTATCTTCTTGAAATAATCTATCTCCATTTAGAAATATATATTATATTTAAATAAAATATATTTGTAGAGTATTTTAATATATATAACTCTATATAGTAGTGTAATTAGTTTCACTTTAATGTATGTAATTAGAATTATGCTTAATTATAATTAAAATACAAAAGAGTAACTATTTTCAGCTGATTCTCTTATATTTTACTAATACTACTTTATTAAAACTGAATAAAAGTTGATTTATCACTTCACAAATCTTTGCCTAATCATTCTTAGTTCAATTTTATTTTCTAAATATCATGCAAATTATGTTATTTTATTTGTAATTAAGATAAAAGGCTTAAATTATATAATATAATTTCTTAATCTAAGTAAATAAAGTATAAGATAAGTTATATTTATAGAAACATTCTGTTCTATATTTTTTCTAAAATTCTTTTACTTTAATAATATATAGTCATCAGTTTTATATTTTTATTTATTACTAAACATTTAATTCTTTTATGTTGATTATTGTTAATTAAATATAATTATTTAAATTGATACTTAGAATCTTTAGAATCAGTTTTATTATATTATTTTAATATATCAAAAACTATTATTTTTCTATATCTAATAGTATTTACAATTTTTAAATTTGAATCTCTATGTTAACAATAATAAAATATTCCTTCATATTATTTTATAGTTAATTTATTTTTTCTTCTATTTTTTTATAAAATGTAATAAAATAAAAAATCAAGTGATTTATGATATTATATGTAAATTATAATGTTTAAATAAACAAAATTAAATACTAATTACTCTTTTTTATAGTTATTAATTACTAAAAAAGACATTCAAAAACTGTTAAATACTTTTATAAATAGTTATTTAATTCTAAATATATAGAACTAATTAGAAAATTTTTGGATTATTTGATACTTTATTGTATTAGATTTAGCAATTAAACACAATGTGAAAGTGGGAGTTTGAGAACCGAAGGTCTGACCCCCCACTGAAAATATATGTGTGTGGGTCACAGAACATTAAAATCAATATCGATTTTTCTTATTATATTAGAAGAGCTTCTATCTACTCTAAAATCTTAATTTCGATATTATATTTCTTAATTCTGTGTAGCTTCTCCAACTTTAAAAAGCATATCAATTTTTATTAATATATTAGAAAAGCTTCTAACGGCTCTAGAATCTTAATTTCTATATCAATTTTTTCAGTTATACTTCTTAAATCTAATGAAAATTATTATATCAGGAATTGATTCTACGCGAGTTGGCTCTTTAAATAGCATATTTACTACTTAAGTCTAATGAAAATAAGTCTAACTATCCTTATTACTCTATAAATAAGTCTAACAAAAAAATAAGTTTAATGAAAATAAGTCTAACCGTCCTTATTACCTTATAAATAAGTCTAACGAAAAAATAAGTCTAACGAAATTAAGTCTAACCGTCTTTATTACCCTATAAATAAGTCTAACAGTTTTCTTAAGTCTAACGAAAATCCATAAAATGTCTAATGAAAAATCATGTGATTTTTTAAATCTAACGAACTTTTTTATATACAAGAATGGCTTCTGTATAAGCTAGCTCATTAAATATATTAATCATAAAACTTTAACAAAAAAATATGTTTCGTGCTTTCAGCTAAAAAGCAAGTCTAACAAAAATTTAGTAAATGCCCATTAGATATTACGCCTAAAATTCTGGCTAAAATTAAGATAAAGTGCTAGCCGAAATGATCTATCCATTACTTTCTTGCATCTCCAATCGTGATTGAAGCCTGTCATAATACTGAATAATATAATAGCCTCTAACATATAACGGGCATTGGCCACAAGCAGAAGCTGTAGGCTTTTTGCAATCAGAACATGGTACCTGTTTTTAGCTTTCTAATGAAATTAGCAACCTTCTGGGTGAATGCAAGGATTATTGCAAACCTTTCTAATATTGCAAAAATATGGATATGAATATTCACCAATCATCCTATTTTTTAACACTAAATTTCAAAAGATTAATTAATAAATAGTTAATGCTTCAGTTTTGGGAAGATAGCTAGAACCGTTTTGGCAAGCCTGCAAATACCGCCTTAGGTGGTGACTCTATAATCAGAAACTGAAAAGAATAGGAAATAATTAATTAAAGAAAAAAATTTATAAGCAAGTAATAGTGTGACGGTTAGAGCTAACTAATATATCAAATGTCTGATGCTTACCCAGAATATATAGAAGAATTTGGTATAGAGATATCTGATTTCAATTCGATTGGTCCTACTGCCCATATACCTTTATCTGAAACTATACCAAAACGTAATAACAGAATTATTAATATTCAAAATAATAATGACTGGTGCTTCAGATAGTGTGTTCTAGAAGCTTTGTATCCTGTAAAAGTTCATCTAGAGAGAAATCCACATTGGCTATATGGAGGTTTTGTAGAGGAACTTAATATGTAAGAGATCCCAATTCCAGTGCTGGTCTCAACACTAGTTTATAAAAAGTTCGAAGAAAATAATCCTGAAATCAGTCTATGTGTCTATGAATAGCACAACCAGAATGAGTATCTTGAATTTCGCTATGTTACAGAAAGAAGAGAGAATGAATACAAACAAGTAAATCTTCTAGTAATTACGAAAGATGATAGAAGTCATTACTGTATTATCAAAGATTTATATAACTAGTATATAATCATAGCAAACATAAAGGGCGAAAATACTTCTGCTGTTATTGTCTTCATGTATACTCTTCAGAGATAAGATACAATGAATATTTGCCAAAATGTAAGGGTCTAAATAATGCCCTTCAGCGACCACAAATGCTGGTGAAGAATAGGAGTATCAAAGCTTTCTATAATCATAAATGCATGTAATCAAATCCATATCGTATTTTCTGGGATCTAGAAATGTTAATCGAAAAATTAACCCTAGAAGAGAAAACAAAGTAGACCATACCAAAAGATTACAGATACACAAGCCATGTGAATACTGCTACGTAGTAGTTCGCATGAACAGTTCATTTAATTATAAGGTAGTAAGTTATGATCTATATAGAGGGTCAGATACCTTAGAAAAATTCGTTGAAAGAATCGAAGGAGAACTTCTAAATATCCAGGCAGATTTATCCGCACCTGCAGAAATGATAATAGTACCAGAAGATCTTAAAGCATACAATGAGGCAACAGAATGCTAGATTTGCAAGGGACCTTTTTTAAAATCAGCACCAGAGATAGTACAAAAACTCAATAAAGCAAAGTATAATTTATTAGAAATCAAAGAATGGAAAACATGCATGGAAAAAGAACATCCTAAAAAGAAAGTGATACAAAAAGAGTATAGTAAAGCTTTAAGTGGGCTCAATCGTAAGGTTAAAGACCATGATCATATGTGGTGCATATTGAGGACCTGCACATGATACCTGTAATAAAAAGTTGCGAATAGGATCTTTTGAGATGAAAGTGCTTCTTATCTGCCATAATTTTCATGGGTATGATTCACATCCGCTCATGAAAGTTATTAGTAAGTTCACAGCAGACAAGCTAGAATGCATTTCAGAGAATATAGAAAAGTACAAAGCCATGGACATAGGACAGCTTCGGTTCTTAGATAGCTTCTAGCATATGGCAATGGGACTTGATAATTTAGTAGCGTGTTTAGGAGAAAAACCTGAAAAGTTTCCCCTAACTGTCAAGCATTTTACAGAAAAAGAATACTCAATAGACAAGATTAAGCTTCTTTTCTGAAAAAAAGTATTTCCATATGACTAGACAAATTCATAGGATAAATTCGATAGAATAAAGCTACTACTAAGAAAGGATTTCTATTCGATTCTTAGCCAGCAAAATATAAGTAAGGAAGATTATGAATATGCATAAAAAATATAGTAGGAATTTGAGATGCAAAGCTTTGGAGACTATCATGATCTTTATCTCGAAACTGATGTACTATTACTTGTCGATGTATTCATGAACTATACCATTATGTGTCTGCAAGATGATGGTTTAAACCCTTCCCATTATGTCTCAGCACCAGGAATGTTTAATGATTTCCTATACAAGAGTAGTGGAGCTGAACTCAAACTTATAACAAATATAGACAAGTACTTGATGGTTGAAAATAGCATTCGTGAAGGCATGATAATGACAAGTCATCAATATGCTAAAGCAAATAATTCACAATGTTCAGACTATAAGTTCAGTAAACCGAATTCCTGGATCATGTATGAGGATATGAATGCTTTATATTCAGATGCAATGACCCAATATATGCCTACAAAAATCTTAAGTAAAGTAGCATTAGAGAAAATACCAGATATCCAAAGCATAGTGCCAGATGCAAAAATAGGCTATATACTAGAAGTTGATCTAGAAGTTTCAGTGCACATGCATGATTTCTTTGCAGATTATCCATTAGTACCCGAAAAGCAAATAGTTCCAGAAGACTGACTTAGCTTGTATAATGAAAGGTTAGTCAATGATAAAGAAGTCGAGAGTGGAAAATACATATTTGAAGAGAAGTTAGTTCAGACCCTTTTTACTAAGAAGAATTATATAGTTTACTATCAAGCTCTCCAGACATATATGAAGTTCAGAATGAAGGTTGTAAAGATTCATAGCGTTCTCAAGTTCAGGCAGTCTCTATAGATGAAAGACTATATTGAGAAAAATATTCGCAAGCGTAAAATTGCTAAAGCTAATGGAAATGAGTTTGAGGTTATGTATTATAAGCTAAAGAATAATGCAGTCTTTGATAAACAGATGGAAAATGTTCGAAAATATATGAGAGTAGAACTACTCTGAATAGAAGAGGATAAAAAAATTAGGCGTCTAGCAAGTTCTCCATTATTTGTGGGTTTCAAACAATTCGATAGAGGAATTACAGCTGTTCATATGTTAAAAAGTACAGTATCGCTAAACAAACCAATCTATGTAAGGCAGGCAATTCTCGACATTAGCAAGGCTATGATGTTCAACTTTTGATACGGTTACATAAAGCCTCGCTATGGAGATAAGGTCCGTTTACTATATACTGACACAGACTCACTCATCATGTTGATAGAAACCGAGGATATCTATAAAGATCAGGTAGAAAGACCAGATATTTTCGATCTTAACTATTCGGGAGACTTGTTTCTGATGAAGGATAAGACAAAGGGAAATCCAATAGGCAAATCAGTATGTTTAAAGCTAAAAATGTATTCAGTTCTTCTAGTAGGACATGATCCTAAAATCCCTGAGACGGATGCAGATTATGAAAAAAAGTTAGAAGAGAAACAATATAGAAAATCTCAGGATGAAAAGAAATGGGAGAAAAAGCATGATATCCAGAAGGCAAAGGGTGTTAAGAAATGCGTGGTTAAGCGAGAACTTCAATATGATAAATTCCTAGAATGTTTTATGAATAAGAAACTAATCTGACATGATATGTATGGTTTCCGCAATTACGATCATCAAATTTACCTTGAGAGGGTAAATAAGATAGGCTGAATTCATATGATAACAAGCGCTGGATCTTACTTGATGGAATCTGAACCCTCCCATATGGACATTGGCGAATAGGATTATATAAACACCTGGTGGCATCTGAAATAGCTCCTGAGGAAGCAGAAGAAAGGGCTATGAAAGCTAAACTTCATGTCAAGGAATAGATGCTTTATAACAATTATTTTTTCTGGATAAAAAATTATCAAAGAATATAATTTTATTAATTAAAGTTTTTTTATTGTAATAGTAGAAACAATACAAAAATGGTGATCATAAGGATATAGAACTTGCGTAAGTCAAAGTCATAAAAACTGTATTGTGAAAGGGCAGAAAATATGATAATCTTGCGAGAATTTTATTTAGAGAAGAGCAACATTTTTATCTAGCCCACCTCCATAAGCTAGACTAGTGAACGATACATATATGCAATAGCGAGACAAGTTATAGCACCAATATAAATATTATAGATTTTGTTCTGACGCAATAAATATTCAGTTTATTTTTTCATGAATATAGAAAATGCCTTCTAAAAATATTACACATATTCAGAAAAAGAAAAAATAAACACTGTTGAGGATATCAAGGAGTCTCTTATGGATTTAGAACGTGATATAACTAAAATATGCCAAAATCTTAAAAGTATTTGTCAGGAAATCTATTTTTTATATGATGCTATGTCATTCTTCAAATCATTTGAGTCCAGTTCATCTGAAGAAATAGAGGAGGGGCCTCAGAGGGACCAGGTAGATGAATGTTACCAACCTAAAAATAGAAAGGTTAAGTACAGGCAGAGCTTCCAGATCATAGAATAATTGAAACGAACAAATCATCAGGTATGGCTAAAAAATCAAGGAATAATCAGCGCAAGACCGCAGGTTAGTTCATCACTAATCCCACACAATATTTTGCCACTATGCAATCCTGTCAAATATTAGCATACATATGATAAGACAACTGGTTTTATAACTGTCAAAAATATAAAACAGAGTTGTAAGCGTATTTGATTATCCTGAGCTATGTGAATATCTGGAGTCAGATGCTTATCATTAATATTATTTTTTTTGATCATGAATCTGAATCTGTTCCTGAGACAAATGGTTTAAAACCCTAATCTGATTCTCAAAAGTCTCAGTCAATAGAAATGGATTCCATGTTAGCTAAAATTGATACAATATTAGTTGAAATTCAGAAATAAATTCCTCACTTATAGCTTTGGTACTGCGGAAGATAAGCCAGTGTTTAGTGAAATATTTTCCCTTCCTTGTACCTTTGGCACTGCAGAAGATGACCAACCTTTTTTTCTTTTTATAATTCTAGGGATATGTTTTTTTTATAATTCTAGAGATAGGCTTTCTTTTTTTGAATTTATGCCTCCTTTGCACCTTCAGCACTACAGAAGCTCGCCTATCCTATTTTTTTATATAATAGCCTATCAAGATAGCTTTCTTTTTTTCGAATGAACATGAGAAAAAAGGAAAATAATTGGAAAACTTTTCTTTTTCAATCAAAGATTTTCAGGAGGGATTGCTATATTTATTTCAGGGGCTTTCATATTTTGTGATGATCGTAACCTTAACTGAAAGTATAGTAGTCTTTTTTTGTGATATATGTTTAAAAAGGATCATAACATAAAGATAAAGTGAGATAGTCTTTTTATCTGCTATGGCAAGATCGAATAATACTAATTAATTGGTATTATACATATCTTTTCATCATTGATCCTGATTTATTCGTGATATTTATTTTGTGATGCTCATTTCTAAGATGTCTATTTTCGAGATACTCATTTCTGAGACGTTCATTTCTGAGATAAATTTTCTTGGGGTAAGGCTAATTTCGTTTTAGTCTTGATATATGAAAAAATATTTATGTAGGGAAAAAAGAGTGAGAAATCTTCTTTATGATTTAACAGTATGACTAGCGAACTACCAGCAAGTCTTTCAAAAATTCATGCGGATAATATAGAGATTTTTCAACTTAAAGTACTTTCGCTAAATTTCCTAAGAAACACTTCTGAAATAACTGATGAACATATCCTGAAACTTAATCCTTGCCACTTCTGCGATGAAGGAATTCTTGCCTTACTACTTCATTCATTCACAGTATTATCATGTGGACATATATACTATTGAATATGTTTTGAAAAATATATTATACAATCAGAAACGCATTTTCCTTTATGCCCTATTTCTAGTTGTATATCACCTATCAAACTTATTAATGAGAAACTTATACTAGCTTCTGGTGAATATCACATGGTATCTAAGGATAAAGATTTCAGGAAAAAAGGCCCCCTAAATGATGATACTATAGGAGGTAAATTGGAACTTTTGCTTGACCTAGGATTAATAGACATGATTCTCTTATGGATCAAGAGGAAAAAATAACTAAAACTATTACGCATGATCAAACAACAAGTCTTACTATAGATATGGAAAGTTCTGCAGATAATTTGACTAATCAAATAACTAGAGATAATACTGACAATGCACAAATTCAGTCATCAAGAGAATCATCTCCTAAAATTTCTCGCGAACAGGACAAGATACAAAGTTTGTTGTAAGAATTGTCTATACCTAGAGAACCTGAAGAAGAAAATGATAGTGAAGAGGGTGGGGGTCTATTTCATAAAATTTAACGCGATTATAAAAAAGCAAGTCTCGCAAAAAAATGTGTCATGAAGGCCAACCAAGATGAAATTTTGTATTTGTATCAATTCGCAAAAGCTTTAAAAAAAGAGTCAAGGAGACTATGAATAGTAATAGCAGGCTTAATGATCAACAAGCTAGAACCCGAGTATATGAAGAAATTGCATAACATTTACCTAGCTTTACAAAAGATAGTTTGCATAAGAAGACTATCAAAGCTAGGAATATCTATAAGTTGTTTGGACAAAACTGTCACCCTACATCTTGTGAAGAAATTAGGGGGATAGGAATGTCAAAAATCAAGTGAGTTAAATCATATAGTGCAGATTACATTTCAAAGCTAACCTTCACACAAATTCATAATATTATAGAACATTTTTCCAATGCTGATTGCGTCCTCTCGAGTTAACGCCAACGTAACCATCACGTGTTTACTGCGCTTTATTTACTGCGCCTGTGAATACATATATCATGAATAGTAGTGAAAAGATTCTTTGATAATCAATTTATATGTAGTTTCGAAAACATTATAAACATATAAAGCATTTAATAAATTATTTTTACTCACATGCAAAAGCGCCTGATTCCTGTGATATGATATATATCATACACCTCTGATTAGCTATTATGCCATTGGAAAATCCCTTACATGCATGTGAATATGTATACAGTCAGATGTGAATCTTATATAAACTTCTGATAATAGCTTGCAATCGAATAAAAATGAATCTGATATTTTATTATCATATACTTGCTATAAATCACTATAAGTCATTAAAATGCTATAAATCACTAAACTGCTATCCTATATCTGTAAAATGGTTAAAACTAACTATTCTGGTTTAAATCCTGTAGTAATGTAGGCGTTAAACAATCTGCAATATAGATATAGTGGTGAAATACCAGAAATGTGGTGTTCTCATATTCATTATCTATTCAAGAAACTTCTCGAATATAATCCAAAATACTTCTTGAAGAATGGGTTTATCCAGATGATTGAAAGATCATATATAGATGGGAAATTTAAAGCTGAGAGACGCTCATTTAATATTTATTGCACTGTATGCGACTCCTTGGTGTTTATCTGTAAAAATACTATCAAATGTGCAAGCGATTACCTTAATAAATGTATTGCTAGAATGGCTAAAAAGAATCTTGCATATTCTATTTACATACAAAAGAATGTGAAAAAGGGAGGAGCGCTAATCCAAAAGAGTGTATCATCGCTCAGTTCTGTTAAAGTTGATGAGATTTATCTAGCATATTGTTTTATATTCAAAAAAGGCTTGAATAATTATACTTATGAATATTCAAATGAAATTAAGAAAAGGATTGTAAATTGCTTAATTAATAATGTAAGAGTTATCCAACAGGCTTGGAGAAGTTACAAGAAGAGACCTGCGTTATTCGCATCTCAAATTTGAAATGCGCTGAGAAATGATGGTACTACTGATGAGGAGAAGTTTTTAGGTGGTAATTGGATACAAGATAAGAAAATTCAATTATTTGTAAGATTCCACAAAGTATCAGTAAAAATGATTGAAGATTCTGAATATTATTATAGACAGGTAACTGCTTATCTGAATAAATCACGTGGTGAAATTATCCAGTTAGTATATTCGCATTTTGGAATGAATAATTATATTGGAATGAATGTATGCGTATAACAGTATAAGGGAATACATCTCATGTGACTCTGACAAAATTCCCAGCTCTGATCAAGATTCTGAATATTATCAATAAAAAACTATATATTTTTTACTTCACTCTATCACAATGCATGTAGGAGAACAGTGTGCGACATAAATTAGCATGTTTTTAATCCTCATTAAAGTATATATGATATAATATATGATAGTTCACAAATCATCTATGAAACTATGCTTGTGTGATAAAATAATTTCACACATAAACTGATCCCTCAAAATATTTTGAATTTTTTTTTCTATCTGAATAGCTTTTATTTATGAGTTTATTTCCTCCGATACTAGAGTCTATTTCTACTAGATTTCGACTAGAATATATTTATATAACATTGTCAGGTCTTAGTATTAACTATTAAGTGAACGGGTGAGTGAAATATAAAAAAAGTCTATATGTATTATCTCTAATACCATTCTAAATGTCGAGATCTTTAATACACATTCCACATACCCTTATCTTTGAACACAAACTTTTAGCGCAAAATGCTTTGCATATTTTCTCCTATCTCTTCCCCAACATGAATGTGAGTTTAGAGAGAATGTCATTTAAAAGGGTAGTATACTGGAATGATAACCATTATAACTTTTTTTATTTTTATTATGCCTGCCGATTTATACACTAAAATTTACAATTTCTTGTTAAATGCTGAGGAAGAGAACATTACTGCTGGGTCTGTTATCTATTAAGGAATCGAAGACAATCTCTGAATATCTCAAAATGAGCTGCAAAGTATTATTGAGCAGGCTGTTGCATTTGTGAAGAATCAATATGATCGAGGTTCCTCACGCCATACTATTCTTCTCAAAATTTTACCAGAGGTAAGATATTTCTAAAGAAAGAAAAAAGAGAATTTATTTGAGTGATGAATAATACAGACTAATACTGTTCTGAGGAAGAGAGTATGATAAACTAAATATCCTATTAGCCCACTCACAGGATTTTTTCCTCGGCAGTGTGTAGGGCAGTGTGTAAAATTCATGTGCACAATGTGCACATGTGCATATTAAATTTTATGTGCACATATTATACAGCATAAAATGTGCACAAATAATTACTAAAAATAGATAAATTATATATAAAAATGG